AAAAAATCCTGAATTTCCACTAGTGTAGCACACGACAAATTTTGTCTTAGCATGTCATCATCCCTATTTTACCCATGACCCCTCAAAAATGTATGAAATTAAACAGGGGCCGAGCCTGTGTCGAAAGAGTTAATACTGAAATGATCATCTTTCTGCTGAAGATTGTTTTTTGTTAGAGTAAAGCCACATTGGGCTATCTACTGTATCCACAGCAGAGAATCGAACACTGGATTTTAGTGTTGTAAGTCTGTAAACTTACTACTATCCCATCAGGGGGCTAAAATTACTTGAAGCTGACATTAATCATTATAGTTCTATAACAAGTTTAAATTTCAATAATTCATAAAAGATGTTACAAACTATACTGTCCATTTCTTTTACATCAAATGAATAGAAAAATTAATCTATTTGTTAGTACACTGACAAAATGAAGGCTTCAACAGATAAAAATTCTAAATTCAAGGCAGATACATCTTCAGAAGATTAAATGACAAACAATGATCTCAAACAACTGACATTATGAAAAGTTAAGAAAAATTACCAGATAGATCTCTTTCTTCCCAGCAAATAATTTTCATAGATAATTCCTGCAAGTGTTCTGCCTTTGCCTACACCAGCACCATCTCCTGTAAAGGGATGTTTAAAATCACAATTAATTATTCCAAAAACAGCTATTGATCCATAATAACCAACTTGAGTTATAAGAATTTTTCCAGCACACACACACACACAGATATATATATGCAGGCATACATTAAAAATATTTACAAAGTAAGATAATACTTTTTCCAACCTACGTTCTGACTGAATTTGAATAAGCAATATAAATAAATTCGTTTACTAACACATATTAAATAAATAAAGCCAATCTTGCACATGTTACAGATTAGAGAAACACTTCAATGACAACAGCATATCTTTAAAAAGAACCAAAACTTGTATTAGTAAAACTTCTCTTTTTTCATATAATCTGAAAGAGAAATTTTACAAATCTTACCTATTAAAAAACCAGCTCGAGAACCATCTGGGAGAAAGGTTTCATGCTGTTGACAAGCATATACAATAGCTTCAAGCTGCAAGGCCGACAATAACCCTCTATCGATAATTTCTTCATCAAGTGAGAGCTTATAACTGATGTCTGGTGGTGGTATGCTGGAAAGGGAACTAGTTTCTACTACAGGGTCTGGGTGACGCTGTCCAATTTTCACTTTTGAAAAGATATAAATACAGAAAAAAATTCATGTAATAAAATACACAACACACCAAATTTAAACAAAGGTTAGTGGAAGTAACAACATAAAGGCAGGTTACCACACTGAAAATAAAGAAAAGTAGGTACAGTAACAACATAAAATAAAGTCATTTCATATATCCAATCAGTTTTAACTCATTTTATATCCATTAAAAAAAAAATTTTGATTATTTTGCCAACTAAAACAGATGACTTCCATCTACAAGTCCTATTAAAATGGCAAAAGAAAGATCTATCAGTCACATTTCAAAGTGACAAACTTTTTACTGTTGTTAGGTGTCATAGCATAGTTTGACATTTGTTTGGTCAAGATCACTTCATATGCAATAGGTATATCGGTGTGTTGTTTGAATAAATGAAACTTGACGATATATTCAATAGAAAAAAAAGCATTCCTATCATTGAATAGTTTGCCATCACAAGCCTAATCTACTATACTTTCTAATATACTATCAACTTTTAAATTATATTCGTGAAAAATATTGTGCTTGTAGCCAGCTATTTTTCTCCCTTCATAATTTTGAACATTGTTACAAACTGGTCTGAATATTCATAATCATATATGAATTACCATTCAGCATTTTGCCACCTACCATCACTAATTTTGAGCACTTAAGTTCAAAGCACTAACAGCATAAAGAGAGGTTAGTGTACTGACAACATTACAAAGGGATAGTGTTGATAATAAAATTGAAAGATATTATACAGACAATAGAGGAATATTATTGTAGTGGCAACAAAAGAAATCAGTGCAGACAATAAAAGATTAGCATACACTAGCAATAAATTAGTGCACTTGATAATAAATGTAATTATACTGACAAAATTACAAAGGGATAGTGCCCACATAATATTAAAGAATAGTGAACTGATAACTATACAGAAGAATAGCACACTGACACTATCAATGTAGGCTACACCACAGAGACTACATTAGACTACCATGTTATTAGTGCATTAACTTTCCTTTAGTGACAGTGTACTAACCTTTATTTACATTGCTAGACGCTAATGGCATAAAGGTGGGTTAGTGCACAGACACCATAAAGGAAGATTAGAACATTGACAATTTTAGAAGGTTAAACTCACAATAGAAAGGTTAATGTTAATGAAATGACAATACAACAATGGGGTATAGCACTTTCATTATGGAAGGTTAGTATACAGCCACAAACAAGATTAACAGATTAGTGCAGTAACACCACAGGAGCTAAATGCACGGAACATTGAGAAATAGTATACTGACAATTAAAAGGCTGGTTAGTGCAATGAAATCATAAAAGATGGCAGTGTACTGATAACATCAAGAAAAGTTATTACAAACTCAATATTAAGGGATTTTAGTAGAGACAATATTAAGTTTAGTAAAATAATTAAACAGAGGGTAAGTACACAAACAACATAAAAAATTTTTGTACAATAGCAACATAAAGAAAGGTTAGTCCACTTTCAACAAAGCAGTATTCAGTTTATAATTTTTATAAACTGAGTGTAGTCATTTCACATATTACTTTGGTAAAAAAGAATTAATTATAAAAAATAGAAAACTTAAGCTAATTTACTAACATGTAGATCACATATCTACATTGTGGCTAGCTGACAAAATAGTAGCCTAAGACCTCAAAATATACAAATATAGAGAACTTGTTACATGGTATAATGACAGTGATAAGTTTTTATACATATACACTGATAAAATATCATAAGCATTGTTTTGCTTTTATTTTATTACAAGTTAGAGCTTCTACAGAAAGGAAAAATATTTTTTAAAACAGACACAATGTTTCAATCACTGGTGCGATCATTCTCAAGTGCACAAGTTTTAATGGTGAAGACAGTTTTGTATTCAAATCAACAATCTAACAATGTATTTAAATTAGATAATCATTAGTGGTTACTCATGCATGTGCTTGTCAATGAATGTGAATTGAAAGATTATCTATAACTGAACAAACAAAATAAAAGTGAAAAAAATGTAATAGGTCATCAAGAAATTAATGTCACTTTTTCTAAATGAAAAACCTGAACAACTTGTATATCAAAACTAAATATTAATTAAATGAAATAGTTTCTATTCTTATTGATGATGATTTTCCATCTTACAATCAGGTTGTTAATGCCCTGATTAAAGAAATCACTTGGCTTTGAAACAAAAAC